TGTCGTCTTCTTCTTGCCGAACTAGTCTGCCAGAACCCCTCTTCAAACTGCAGATTCACTCATTGAAAAGCACATTAGATTGCAGATCCACTTCTTTACTTCTCCTTCTCCATGAAAAGCTTTGAGGAAAAAGAAAATGGGATTGAAAAGCGAGGGGATATGGGTTTTACAGGAGAAGACGGTAGTTGTTTGGTATGAAGATGAATATAGGGTGGCTGAATATTGAAAGAGAGAAATAAAAACCCTAAAGAGGGAGATTATAAAAAAAAAAAAAAAAATTATAACTAAAATTAAAATAAATTATTATATTATATTTAATACCATATCATTTTTAGTCATTTAACATGGTCACAGCAGTTTTATATAAAAGTTTACCAAACACTTGAACATTGATTTTTTTTGTTAAAAACACTTTTACAAAAAAAATTACCAAACACTTAACTGTTTTATCTTATAGTTGTTTATTCTCATAGTACAACAGAAATAGTTTTTTTTAAATCACAGAAATACTAAACTAGCCCTTATTCTCGGGTCGCCTCCCTCCAGATCAGGATCCTCTCCTGAGCTAAGGGTGAGGATCCTCCTGAGAAAGCTTATCGGGCTATTGAAATTTTATTCAACGGTTTAAAACAAGGAGCTCTTTAAAAATTATAATAATTGTAACTTTGGATAAAATTTCAACAATCTAATGAACTTGCTCAAGAGGATCCTCATCTTTAGCTTCGGAGAGGATCATGATCCCCTCCCTCCAGCCATTCTGGCCATGTTCTACAGTTGCGGTGTACTCCTCTTGGCAGACATGCCCCTGCATGGGACCCTGGTCAAATGGGTCCCAACGCGCTGATTTATTCTGAGAAATCCCAAAAGATGTGGTGGGACGATCACATCTAAGATTTGATGCGCACGTAGCATGTGAATGTGATAAAGGATCATGATGATCACAAGTGTGAAAAGTCCGCATATCGGATGGCTGTGATTTTACGAAGAGAAGGGTGACGTCATGTGTGAAGGAGCAATACGAAGACCATTTCAAAATGAGATGTCCAATTTTAAACTAAAATTTAAATTTGAAGGTTTATATGACACATTGGCATCTTTTAAATTTTTGCTCACCAACCAATATGTCAAATTTTAAATATAAAATAAAAATTCATATATATTTTCTTTGCATTGGGTGTTAATGCTTTAAACCAATAAAAAAAATTAATAAAAAGCATTTAATAATTAATTAAAAAAATCTAAAGGTGCTGTCAAATTTGGCAGTAAGGGGGAGAGATGTCAATCTCTATCATCCCACATCAGATTTGGCTTATCGGTTGGAAAACATTAATGCTGCCTTTTGTTACTGTTATTGCTGATTTGGACAATTTGACATCTCATTTAAAGATACTCTAAGGCATACGAATGAATAAACATCATTTGTTGAGATTGAAAAGGTAAATATTTGGGGTATACTGAAATATCAATGTGTTTATTTGGTTTTGGTGCCACATTCTCACGAGAAATTTTTTCGGTGTAAAAAGCATAATTTGGTAAATTAAGTGTCATGATATAAATAAATAAATTTTTTTTTAATATTCAACTACTTTTTTTATTATATTTAATGTAAAAAGCTGTTTTAATGACATATTGAAATATCACTCTCACCTCACGGGATTTACGGTTTCCAAAAATCTGGAAGAAAGAAAACATGGCTAAGGTTTTTCTCACCTCAACTTTTGTAGGCCCTTTTGACACCAACTAGGAATTTCTTGCTTTACAAAGATTGCAACGTGAGCCACAAGTCATCCATGGTGACTGTTCGTGTATTTGAATTTAAGAGCAGAAGTAGAAATTTAGACTGAGGTCTGGTCGACTGTAACTTTTCTTTTCCATGTATGGTGTGCGGTGGTTGGTTGACGACATCCTGAAATATGCTCGGTGCGTTGTGCTGAATGCATTACGCTGGTTGTTAAAAGATCAATATGAATTATAAGTTAAGTGAACATTTGTTGAAGTCAAGTCTTATAACGTGGGTTTGTAAGGCAAAACACTAAAATGATTGGTTGCATGATGAGGTCATATTAAGCACGTCTTAAGTGCTCGGGTGTGAAGCAAAACCACAATTGTTATCTCAGATTAAAAACTATCTTTAAAATATAGGGTTTAACTTAATCGTAACTTATACATGCAAGAATTAGTTACACAAGCTACTGAGTATAATTCAATGATCATGAACGACCATTTATTGACACATGTAGATCTCATGTATGATATCCATCAATCAACGTTTTCTAATAGCAAACACGTACATGAACGACTGTATTCACTGGTACGACACTTTCAAAAGTTATGTAATGAGTATATGAATAGTATAATTGGTTACGAGATATGGGTCAATAATGTTGGAAATTTTTGGACGGACTGGGGTAAAAGAAAGGGAAAAACAGATGGACTCACGTAGCTATACGTGATGGTTTCAGCACTTTACAGCTAAATGATAATTTCTACATTTGCTTGGGCCGTGACTCACATGAGAACATTATAAAGCAATGTTGTGTGCTGTTTTTTGTCTTGGTTAGTGAGACAGATGGTTTTTAAGCCCTTGATCGACACTCATGGTGTCTCACAACTCACAAGAATTGCATGGGCTGTGAGGCAACTTTCACGAGGGAACTTTCGTCAATTTGCAAATAATATTCACTTTGCTTGTGTTAGATTTGGTGAAACGGAAAAAAGCCAGTTACATTCAGAAATCTAATAATTAAAAAAAAAAAAAGATAATGTTAGGAAAATTATTTATTTGAATTATAATGTAAATCACGTGATGTGATGTGACGGTTGATAATTGAATTTTTTTAATTGATATTTTTTTTTTTAACAAATGATAGTATTTACATTAAGGGTAATGTTAGAGAGACCAAATTTTGTAAACTAAATGATGTGATTGTTGATTAACGTCTTTATTTCTTATTAATGACACATCATTTGGTTTGCCTATTTGATTTAAAATTTGATCTCCCTAGCATTATGCTTATACTAAAGAGGTGGTGGAGTGAGCTAAACCTTACAATTGGCTTGCTATAATAATGTAGTTCAACTTCACCTTTAGTGAGAATCGAATCTAAGATCTCTCTTTTACAAGTGAAGAATAATAACACTAACCGTAGTATTAAATGACTTATTTAAATCATTAAAGAAAGAAACTAACTATCAATCGCTACATCAAATATGGTCTAAAAACATGCTCCTCTTGTCATTTTTCATTTGAAAAAGATGTAGGATGGAGAGGGAGAAAGAGTGAGAACATTGAGACGTTATGGTCCCAAGAACCAACCATTCTGTTACAAAAACGTATGGTATGGGCTCACACCTAATAAATTAGGAACTCTTTGTATGGCAAGCAAGGCCGCAAGACTATACATGTTTCTTTTGGGTCAATTACAAATTTGCATTCACATAGTTTAGGGCGTGTAATTACAATGTCCTTAATTTAAACATTGGCAAAAACAATCCTTAATATTATAAGTGGTTATATTATTGGTTCTCGTCCATGAAACTATCACCTGATAGGTATTTCAATATGATTGTTATATTAACATGAGATATTACTAATTTGGTCATATTGTAACATGTATATATACTTTATTAGGGAAAATTAGACTCTACCACTTCTTTTTCACGTTTTTTAAACTAAACATTTGTAGTGTTTTAAGTTTTGATTAAACTTTTAAAATTTTAATTAGGGTGCTTTAATGTATGTTCACATCAACATTTTCTTATTTAATTCATTATCTTTTATTAATGTAAAAGGATATATACTCATTTCCAGTTTATCCTTTAATATCTATTACTAATTTTTAATTATCTCCCTAAAAATCGGAGAACAGTTTTCTGCTTTTTCGTTTCTCACCCACTTCATCAAAAGAGAGATACAGTTGTGAGAAATTTTGCAGGGGAGAGAGAAACAGAAAGAGGGGGAGATAACATAGCTATTGGTGTGTGCTCCAATACGGTGTGAAGTTGAAAGAAAAAGGTACTAAGAAATAGAAGCAAATATCAAGTTGTTTTTAAAAATTGTAAAAGAAATTATGTTGAAATTGAATACTGAATCATAACCGCTAGAGATTTTATAGTTAATTTGGTACACTACATAAAATGACAAATCATATAATTTTGTATTATGTGGCGCCTCAATTGTAGGAAGATGTTTAATCAAAATTCTAAAAGATATGGATGTTTAATCTCAAAATTTCAAGAGCTAAGCATATCAAAACGCTCCTATTTATTAATACTTCTTCATATTATAAAGCATAAATAAGTACCATTACATAACAATGTGACAATAACACTTGGTAATTAGACTAATAAATGGGGACAATGATTAGGATTTCTTTTTCGCCAACTTTTAAAAGACAGTAAGCAAATTGTCACTAACACCAACCGAAAGGGTTCAAGGATAATTGCCCTATAATCTAATGCTACTAACAAGTGCAAGAATATTTCTTAAAATATTGTCCTATGATAAAAAGGTTTAACTCAAATCGAAAACCAGCGCAATACCTAATTAATTCTTATACGCAACACCATTTTTTCTATTTTTCTCCCGAAGAAATGATATCCATCAACTCCTACGTGTATGAAGATGGAAACTTAACCCACTTTGAAAAAGACAGAGTAAACAAAATTTCAGTGGCTAAATTAAATTAAGTTGCAGAGTCCCAAAGCTGCTGAAGCCAAGCCATCTCATGGAACACGAGACATTATATTACAAGTCCATAATATATGATAAGATTCTTCTTCGTTTAAATATTTTTTATGCGTTCAAAACACGAGTTTGTATATCATATATATTGTAATACGAATAAAATTTTTGTTTATTGTAAGTGTTTATCAACGTACACTATAGTAAGTGATGTACTCTGAAAAGCTTCTCGAAGATTGGGGTCTTTGAAACCAAATCAAACGGCTAAGGAAGGTTTAGCAGATGTGAGTAGGCTTATCATCGGTGACTCGACAGAATGATATAGAGTGAGAGATAGGAAAGCCAAAAAACAGAGCGGTAGGAAACGTTGAGCTGAAGAGCGGGACCAGCCCGCCATTAATGCAGTACTCTGAGCCTTCCTTCACAGCCCAACCCTCTCTCCATCACACCAAAAGCTTTTAGTCAACTTGCTCCTGGTCAGAAAAAGTTTTCTGTTCTGTATATCTGCTCATTAGAAAGCAGAAAACCATAACACTCGAAACCATAAACAACCCACCTCCCTCTCTGTTATCTCTCTCTCTCTCTCTCTCTCTCTCTCTGAATACATTCCAGTTTTCGAAAAAAAAGAGGTTGGTTTTTGGATTCTTGGTGTTTTAGTTAATGGGTTTTTGTTAATTCTGTATCTAGATTAAGAAAGTTTCTTTCTTTCTTGTTTTGGAGAAAAACAAATTGAATCTCAGTTAAAACCAATCAACTTTGGAAGCTTTGATGCCAACTTTTTCTGTTCCTTCTCTCTTTTGGGTTGAAAAGTTACTGCTTTTACTCTAGATCTATCGGTTCTGAAGTTCATTTGAAGTGCTTTCAGCTGAAACAAAATCTGTGTGATCTGCAGGTGGAGGGTTTGAGGAAAGCTGGTTGTTTTTTCTAGGGCTAGAATTCATGGGGGTCTGCCTGAGCGCCCGAATCAAAGCTGAGAGCCCTGCAAATACAGGTACATATAGATTTCATGGATTCTAATTGCCACAAGTGTCGTTATACTTACTTGGTGTTTCAACCCGGGAAGCAATCCATCACTTGCGTACTTGCTTGATTTTGGTTCAGCTGTGTGTTCGGAATTTTGGGTTTTATCGAATTATAGTATTGTTTCAGTAGAAATTATAATTATGGATTTGTATAATGTTGGTCCTGCGTGGGTGGTTTGTTGAAAAACAGATTATCTGGAAACTTAAATATTTTCTCATGTTTATTTTCCCCTGTTTAGTTGCTGCTAGATTCTCCGAAGGAGTTTATTCGGTTTCCTTCACAATACGAAAAATAGGAATGTCACTGAGCATTTATCGCTTTGCCATTCTCTGATGAATTTGTTCTTCTTTCAAAATACAGCCGAAAACGAGAGGAGAAGTTTCACTTCTCAATAATTGTCTTAGATAATATGGTGTAAGGTATTGAGTAGTACGAACGGGGAAGCTTATCGATGCCTCGGTGGTGACTTTAAATTGATTTCCACTTCACATTTACTTGTGCAGGTTCAAAATTCGAAAGCAATGATGGGAGCCTCAGCGCAAGCAGTAAGGTCTCATCATATACGGCACCTCCAACTCCTCGGAGTGAGGGTGAGATCTTGCAGTCTTCCAATCTAAAGAGCTTTAGTTTTAACAACCTCAAAATGGCCACAAGGAATTTCCGTCCTGATAGTGTGTTGGGAGAAGGTGGATTTGGTTCTGTTTTTAAGGGGTGGATTGATGAAAATTCGTTTACTGCTGCAAAGCCTGGGACTGGCATAGTTTTGGCTGTGAAACGGCTTAACCAAGAAAGTTATCAGGGTCACCGAGAGTGGTTGGTGAGTTATTTTTTCCCCTGATTATATACTTCACACAAATTGAAAACTTGCGTATTATCATACTCGGTTCTTTGATCTTATATATATACGGTGAACCTCTTAAACGTCTGGTTAAGGCAGAGTTAAGCTAGGCATTGGTGCTTTTAAGTTTCAACAAATAATCGTTTGAGCCGTCCTGCTCTTGATTGCCTAGTACTAGGCTACTAGCAAATCCTGAGTTTCGCAATTTTAAAATGAATTTTACTCCTTTTCTCCTCAAAATTGACTTATCTTGTGCTTTCATTTGGGTTTTTATAGGCAGAAGTGAATTATCTAGGACAGCTCTACCACCCGAATCTCGTGAAACTAATTGGCTTTTGCTTGGAGGATGAACACCGACTTCTGGTGTATGAATTCATGCCTCGGGGCAGCTTGGAAAATCATTTGTTCAGGAGTAAGTTCTTTCAGCTACGTCTCCGGATACATTTGAAACAAGATTGTTTTAGCAATTAATGTATTGAAGATTTTAAACTGACTTTGTACCAGGAGGCTCTTATTTCCATCCTCTTTCTTGGAACCTCCGCATCAAGGTTGCCCTTGGTGCTGCAAGGGGTCTTGCTTTTCTTCACAGTGCTGAAACAAAAGTGATATACCGAGACTTCAAGACGTCGAACATCCTGCTTGATTCGGTATGTGACTACTCAATGTGTTAACTACAATATTATGATTATATTAGGAGATCTTTTGACTTCATTGTGTTCTATTCTGAGAATTTCTTTGGTTTCTGATATAATTCCAGAACTACAACGCAAAACTTTCCGACTTTGGTTTGGCCAAAGATGGGCCAACGGGTGATAAAAGCCATGTCTCTACGAGGATCATGGGTACCTATGGATATGCAGCACCGGAATATCTAGCCACAGGTATTAAAAGTCGGGTTTTTACCACAAATGATCCTTTATGCATTATAAATGCATAATTTACGTCTGTTATGTCTTAAACCAATCAATAACATCATTCATGTTTTATAAAACACATCAATATGGTCCTTCCGCAAACTCCGTTACAAATTCCGTTTGTGTGCTGATGTGGTATACATGTGGGACTTGTTCTCTTTCCACTTTCAACTTGGAATATTTCCAAGTGCTTTGGTTTTATATTCCTGATTACCAGATATCAAAATTGATGCCTGTATAACGGCTCCAGTTTTCACTAATTCCAGGTCATCTAACTGCCAAGAGCGACATCTATAGTTTCGGAGTCGTTTTGTTGGAGATGTTATCTGGCCGGAGAGCAGTTGACAAGAACCGGCCATCTGGAGAACACAATCTGGTGGAGTGGGCTAAACCCTTCCTGGTAAACAAGCGTAAGATCTTTCGCATCATAGACAACCGTCTAGAAGGTCAGTATTCAATGGATGGAGCTCACAAGGCAGGTATCCTTGCAGCAAGATGCCTGTCCACAGAATCCAAGCTCAGGCCAAACATGGATGAGGTTGTAAAAACACTTGAACAACTGCCAGATTATAATCCCACCGGAGGCACTCAGAGTAATGGTCAAAGGATGCGCAGACGAAGTGCAGACGATGCTAGCAAGGCCAAGCGTGCAGCAGCAGCAGCAGCAGCAGCAGCTGATGCGATAAAGGCAGCTAACGAGGCAAGGAAAACTGTCGCCTATCCTCGGCCCTCTGCTTCCCCGCTTTACGCTTGAAAATGGCAAAAGCTGCAATATACGAATGTTCGTCCTGTGGGTGTACAGTTTATTATGGCTAAATGTTATTCAAATTTCAACCCTTTCTTGACAAATTAGGCGAGCTTGTAAAATGAGCATTGCCATGATGTATCTTGTTTATCACCAAATTGTTACTTTGGCTTGGAATAGTAGGGATGCAAGCGCTTTTGTTCGATTCTTTTAGTAGCTGCGAGTGAGAGGCCTTTCTTTTTTATCACGGGCGCCACGAACCCCTAAAATCTTTTATGTATGTTTGAAACATCATTCAATACTCGGTACTCGTTACAGGGGAGAGAATTAACCTGTGACTCAAATTATGTGCATGAATCAGACGGTTGCATGCCTCAAAAGTGCAGCGTCTTTTTACAAATTATATATACAAACCATCTACCGGAAAAAAAAAAAGGATAGGAACCCTATACCTCCGTAAGTTTTGAAGAACAAGTATCTGTTGTCTTTCGTTCCAGGAGCGAGGAAAGCTCGTGGATGAGGGTTTTTTCCTGACACAATCTGGCTGATTGCTTAATCACCAAGTTCTTATCAACCACGGGCTCCAGTTTCTCCAATCCAACTTCCGAATAGACTTGGTTCTAAAGTTTACCATGTCTCTTATATCGAAAACCGTCTTTTTGTTCCCTTGTTTAGTAGACTCGATTGCAGTCTCCTCCACGGTTTCTTTCTTTGCTTCTTCGGTTTCAATCACAGGTTCAGGGACAACTTTGTCTTGAGATGACAGCTCATCTATGATGCATCGCAAAACCCCAACCACCTCACTCATTTTCGGGCGAGACTTTGGTTGTTTTAATAGACATCTGTTGGCTAATGATGCAAGATTTTGAGCTGATTTGATGCAATACTGTCCTTCAAGCCGAGGGTCAACAATAACGTGGAATTTCTTTGAGTCTGGAACATAGGGCTTGACCCATTCCAAAAGCTTTTGCTCATTCCGGGGCAAATTTCTGTCCACTGCCCTTCTTCCTGTGATGAGCTCATACAGAACCACTCCGAAGCTCCATACGTCACTTTTAGCAGTCAGCTTCCCTGTATGTACATATTCTGGAGCCGCATAACCTATTGTCCCCACAATCTATAAAAACCGAATATTCATTGTAAGTAATGCATTTCCCAGAACACAGGACTTACAATTCACCAGAAACAAGCAAAGAAGTTGGTTGCCATTGCTAATAGGTCCCATTTCAGAATTCATAAGAGATTGGCCATCAGTTTAGTCTTCCCAGAAATTTTCAAAGTGCCAAGGAAGGCCTAGAATTTTCAACAACCATTTACTTTTATCGCTAATATCACCTAGGCGAAATCAGCGACTTTGCATCCCAAACTCCCAACACCTTAAGAGGACGATATGCCCAAATTCATTCTAGAAAGACAAACTTCTCTACCCGAAGGATAATGCAACTTACTGTTGTTGAAACATGACTTGTTCCCTCTGGAGGTCCCTGCCTTGCGAGTCCAAAGTCTGAAAGCTTTGCATTGAAGTCCTCGTCTAGCAGAATGTTTGATGGTTTAAAGTCGCGGAAAATTAGCTGCACCGATTATAAGGAAGATCCAGATCATATTGACTAGAGAATAGTTGAGAAGGTAACTTAAACAAAATGTAGGCCACCAGATATATGAAAAGTGACGGGAGGCATGAATTTGCAGATATCATCTGTTATAAAAAAAAAAAAAAAAAATGGGAATATTTACGCACAAAAAACTGTTTGGACGAGGGATTTGCAAGTACCAGGGGATTTAGGTTAAGTTAGTTAGAAATGCACTACAAAAGATCATATGGAGCTTTTGAACTTAGATACTCGATACAATGCAATAACAGGGATTTACAAATGACTACTTCGAAGGAGTCATTTGTGAATCTTTTGTTTGTCTTTCTAATTATCATGCAACGCATTTCAACTCCCTCAATCTAATTTTTTGTAGTTCATTTCCAACTAACTTAGCCTAAATCCCTTGGTACTTGCAAATCCCTCCTGCAAACGACCTAAGGGAACAAGGGAAAAGGCTACAGACAATGGATCTATATGTATATTTTAGATAAGGGCAACGTGAGAAGAGTGTCTTCATGTAGGGTAGTTTTGATATAAAAATAAACAATAGAGCGTACCTGAAAATCCATCTCTTCATGTAGATATGCCAATCCGCGGGCTGCATCATGGGCAATTCTTAGTCTTGTCATCCATGGGAGAGATGGTGAAAACCGAACCAATAGATGGTCCTCCAAGCTTTTATTACGCATAAGTTCATAAACCAATAGCCGTTGAATCCCCCTTTCATCGTCTTCTGCACAGTATCCTACTAGCTTAACAAGATTTGGGTGCCTGACAACGCCCAACAAGTTTACTTCGTTAATCCACTCCTTATGCCCCTGAATACTAGAATGTAAAATACTGCAACCCCATTAGACAACCTCAAAAAACTTGAAAACTAGAATCCGAAATAGAGCACGTAAAGTAAAACTACATTCGGACGGGTCAAAGAAATTCTTAATCGAAACCAATCACTAATCAATTATCCTACTAGCAAAACACAATTTCAGTACAAAACTACACAACTGTTAGTAAACCGGCTATGTTGACAACTGACAGGCTTTATACTTCAGAATCATCGACTCCTTTCTAAATATATGGTTTCTCAAGTATGCCGTGCCCACAACCCGAATTCAACTAGCTGAAATGACACAAATCCCATCTCCAAATTCAAGCAACGCCACAAACTTACTAGAAAATAACAACAAAACGAAACCCACAAAGCAACAGTCCCAGAGAAAAGCTTGATAAATTCAAATTTAGGATATACAATAATTGCCACGTAGAATTTGTAAAATTGCAATCCAATCCAACAATTTTAGTGATTAAAACACTAAAAATCCAAAGCTTTTCAGATACAGTAACTATCTTACAATAAAAAGGCGACAAATTTTGAAAGAAAAAAAAAATTGAAAGGGGACCAAAGAGCATGCCTGGAAGCCATTGCGACTCAACTGTTTGATAGCAACGTCCAATTTCCCGTCGCCGACGTCGCAGCCGCTGACGATTCCTCTGTAAACGCACCCAAACCCTCCTTCCCCAATCAGCAATGCCCTGCTGAATCCCCTGGTCGCCGCCTTCAGCTCCGAGAACGTGAACACCCTCAGGTCATTGGCCCGCCGCATACTCAGCAGCTCCTGGAATGCCAACGAGTCGGACAGGTCCCTCGAGTCCGAGTCGAACTCGGACCGCCTAGTGTCGTACCTGCTGGAGGCCACGCTGAGAGACCGCACCCACGACACCTTCGACGTCGTCCGGGGAACGACGCCGGGTTCATCGTCGTCCCGCCGCTCCCCGTTAGTGAAATGGAAGCACTTCATCGGTTCAGAAGAAAGTCCGGCAAAGTTCAGAAGTTGCAGACACAGAGAGTCAAAAGAGAGAGAGAGAGAGAGAGAGAGAGGAGCTTGGAATTCGATCGCAACTTAGAACGACGAAGTTGACAAAATGTTTGTTTGTTTTTATATTTTAAAACGTTGAATTTCGAGAAATTGGGCGGCGATTTTGCCGAGAAAAAAAAATCATATGCCAACAAAATAGTGGGTTGTTTAAAACGAAGGCAATATTGGAGTAAAATAATCGAAACAAGCTAGTCTTAGGTAGGGATGTTTATCGGTTCGAGTTCGACTCGTGTTCGGTTTGTTTTTTGCTTGTTCAGGTTCCATTGTGTAAATAAAACGAGCTGAGATCGAACAAATATCAAGCTCGCTAAAAAAATGAGTCAATTGAAAATTTGTATGTTTAGCTTGTAAAACTTGTAACTCGTGACAGCTCGTATATTTTTATGTACAACACTGTTTTAAAAAATTAGCCGCTAAGTAGTTAGCAACTATCTGTCATAATTAATTTCTAAATGTTTGAAAATTATGAAAGAGTACGTAAACTTGCCTAACTGCTTGTCTAAGCGACCTCCTACCTCTTCTAGACCCGTCTAAGTCGCGACAAAGTAAGTTCATCAAACACAATCACTCAAGGTCCAAAGTAAAGCTAAAAACCATCCAATTAAATTTTTGTTTATAGAATGAGTCCCAATGTACAAACACTGTTTCAAAGGGAGAGTTCTGAGTTGATATATATTTTTTTTCTCTTTTGTTTTGATCTTGTTGTTTTTTGTATGCCGTTTTAAAATGAGGAATCGGAGTGGATCACGAGCAACTGCAGAAGATCCCCCATTACTAAGTTGAAGGGTATAATAGGAAATTTAGGTGTCTGCACTTTTCGTCGTTTGATTAGGTCAAGTTGTTTGGTCACCTTCAACTTCAAGTTGCTTTGTCACCTTCAACTTCAAGTTGCTTTGTCCTCAAACTTGTCCTGCTGCGCAGCCATGCCTTCTAGAAAAGCATACGCGGACAAGTATAAAAATATGCAAAGTCTTCTGGTGGTCACTGTTATACTTTATATATTTCATAAACAACTAAAAACACTAATTTGAAAGAATCTATAAATTATGCTCAATTGATAAAGTAATCGAAGTCAACATAGCCTGTAGGAAAGATGAACCATCTTTGACAGAACCATGCGGAATAGGCTCAACCATGGACTTCTCATTCGGTGGAAATTGTATTGAAATCCTGCGGAGTAATATGTTAGTTGACAAAAGTCTTCTGCACACTCAAATACTCCTTTATACTCGATCTAATGGGGCGTTCATATGAGTTTCTATGTGTTGTGAGCAGGGACCTTAGCCTTATATTTATATGGACTTAACTCTAATGAATATTCCCATAATAATGTCATTAGGAATCCTTGCAGTCCAAGGATAATTGATACATCAAATCTCATTCCAAATAGGATAGAATTAGGAGCCCTTATTCCCCAAGGAGATCCGGAATATATTAACTTTACTTGGGATACAAGTTATAGCTATTAACTAAATCTTAATCTTATTTATATTGCAAACAATCTTTAAATTAAAGGGCATTTTAACGAAAAGCTTCCGATACTGTTCACTTTAACGAAAAACCACATTTTTACACTAAAAAGTCAATCCTAGTACTATTCACTTTACCCTTTATTTTCTCCTTATCGTTAAAACTCAAAGTTTTCAAGCTATTTTCATTCGTTTTCCTTTAAATTAACTATGTAGACCTATTAACCGTTGGATTATGATCCAACGTCCAACGATCACAACACAAAG